GATACTCAGTCACAACAGTTCCCGTTAACTTTAGGAGTTGTTCTTTTGATGGTGGTGGTTTTTTGCTGGTCTTGGCAGACTTTTCTTGGTTAAGTGGTGAATTCGTTTTGAGACCAAGTTGAGGTGTTTGTCCCAGAGGTGGTGTCTGAGCGCATGGTGGCTGTGCACTAGGAGGAATCATAGTTATCAGGGATTGAAGCTTTGGCACATGGATTTTATTCTTTGGGAAAGATTGAGCAAGGCCTCAGGCTAATCTCATCTGCATTAAGCTGTCCTTTCTTAGAAAATCGAGTTGGTATATCCTTCGACTGTCTTTGCAGCTGGGATAAGAGTCCCTGACTCTGCTTATGGTAGAGCTGGCTTAGTCCCTGACTTCTCATAAACTTGCCTCCCATCTCTCCAAACTGCAGTTGTGTGGGAGGCATGATGTGTTCCCCATGGCCACTGAAAAGTCTGTTTGAATGATGACACCCCATAGTGGGTAAAAATCAATCCTGGATACATCTTTTGTCAGTCACAGACATAGCTGAGCAGACAGTGAGCTCTTCCTTTGGCTCCTCTAGGGCTTTGTCCACAATCAGCAGTAAGTCCCTTTAAGGATGAGTTTAAACTCTACATCCACATTGAGGAGCTCAAGGCAGAGCTTGTCAGACTTCTCAGGAGTGAGCTTATATAGTGTGCCTCTTACTTTGTGGAAGATTGCATCATGTTCTTGTTCATTTGTGGAGTTGTTGCAGTGGAGATGTCATCTTGTCTAGTGCTTCGTGCAGGAATCCATTTCTGAGCATTCTGTCCTGGGGATCTATCCTCTATCTGGAGAAGCACCCCCTTCTGCAATCGCACTCTCCAGTATCGCAGCTTGACAATGAAGAATCTTCAAAAGAATACTATTAACAGATGTGCTGTGGGGAGGGGAAGGGAAGGTAGAAATGAAAAACCTTCACCAAGAACTCAGCAGCTATATGGCAGCTCCCTCTTCAGAATCCAGTTGTCAGGACTGGGAATGGAAAAGGAAGGGGAAAACAAAATAGGGGGAGGGAAGGGGAAGGAAGGAGTCGGGCATGGCTGGAAACGCTCAGCTCAGAGGACTGCTGCAGCCACCACCCATTACCCACTGCTACCTCCGTACAGCTCCCGACTCGCCATTGGCGCTGAGGTGTGTCTCAGTCATTTTGAGTTTTGTTCCGTATTTTCTCCCACTCTATCTGGGACCTAATGTTACTCCTCTCAGAGAAATTGGTAGTGGTGCTATCTGTTTCTTCTGGTCTCAGTGTTGTGGAGACTGATGTTCACAGGTTCCATTAGTCCAAAAACTAATAACTTCAAGGATCTTCTTTCTTCCACGCAGGGAGACATGAATAGCTGCACCTTAGATGGCCGATCATGAGCTACTCACCAAAGTAGAATGTAGAACATTGTGTTTGTGGACTGTGTTGTGCCTGTTGGCCATGGTTCCCAGAGAATATAGATCTGTGTCCCAGACCCAGCAATTTATTGCCTTAACATACTGAGAACATCTAAGAAGTTTTCACTTTTAGCCCCCACTGTGCTCCACCACATTCATAATTGTGTTTGCAGGAAAAGGAAATACCCATGTACAAATAAGCCTGTTTGAAATGTATACTATTTTAGACTCATATTTCTATACTAGTGTGCGCATAACCTCACTCTTCTTCCCATACCCATTCATTCTACGTTTCTGTCCATGTGTCTTCCTGCAGAAACACTGTTGTTCAAGGTTGTGTGTATGTCACTGTTTACTTCTCTTCCCTTTAGCCCATGCGTACTTCCCTTGTGTCTTCACTTATTTTCATCATTCTTGTGCCAACCTCCCTCTTCTTGGTCATTGCCCTCCCATCACCCAAGTTACCATGTGCCTACCTTTTAGCCAGTGAATTCCCCTTTCCTTCCCATTCCTGGTAACCATCAAATAATGCTTCTTTTAGTATGAAATATTTTCTTAAGTTTTCTCATACAGTATTTGTCATTTTGTGATTAACTAATTTTACTCAGCATAATGCCCTCTAGGTTCATCCATGTTTTGAAGTGTTTCACAGATTCGTTGGTGTTCTTCACCATTGCATAGTTTTCCATTGAATGTGTATCAGAGCTTGTTTATCGAGTCTTCCATTGATGTGCATTTAGGTTTCTCCATCTTTCTGCTGTTTTGAACAGTGCTGTGATGAACATTGGCGTGCATAGATCTACTCATGCCCTGGCTCTTATTTCTTGTGGATTTACCAAGTAAGAGGGATTGCTGGGTCATACGGTATTTCTAGTTCCAAATTTTTGAGGAAGTGCCATTAGGTCTGTATGTTTTTGAAGACAGTATTTTCATCTTTCTAACCCTTCCACACAACATTCTGTGCTCTTCATTCTTTACAACGTCAAAAGAGCAGTTTTGGCATCCACAGGCACACAGATCATGCTCTTTTAAGTATTCTTTGAATTTTGGGAACAAGATCAGGGATGAGTAAGTTTTCTGAATGAAATTATCATAGGTCATCCCTCCTGCCCTCAAAGAATGAGCAGGTGCATTGTTGTGATGGGAAACAGTTCCTAAGTGCAACTTCCCAGGTCTTTTTCTCACCAGTGGAGTTCTCGGTTTTTAAGAAGCTTTGTAATAAACCCCTGTGCATGTCATGTGTCCAGGTACACACAGCATGAACCTGGTGAGACCATCCATGGACTAGCACCAGGAACAGGAACATCAACTCTGGTCCTTCTCAAGGAGGGAGGCTACTGTAGGGAGAGAGTGGATCCATAGAGAGCTGAAGGAACCACAGAGAAATGGAAATGAGAATTGGTGTATTGAAGAGGAATCACAAAGAGGAAGTACGATGCAGGGAAGGAAGAGACCAGGGAAGACACACGGATTCAGGTTGGATCAGAGGTGAGGAAGCTTCCAGAAGGAGCCAGAGCCTCCAGCAAGCCCCTGGCCTAGCATCAGGCTTCTCTTTTACCCCTTCTGGCTCCTCCCTTCCTGACCTTCTTTGTCCCTGCCTCATGATTACTGACTTTCCTTCTGAATTACAATCTGAAGAGTTTATAAAATGTTTTATTTTGGTTGATGCATTTCCAAGTAGTGAATAAAGCAAATAGTGTACAATTCAAGATAAAAATGGGCAATGAAAATCAAGTCTCCCATACTTGTTCTTCAGTTCCCCTATGCAGAGGCAGCCTTGGGTAATGGCTGATTGCCTTTTCTTTTTCAAATAAAAACACACAGAACATACTCTACTTGTGCTTTAGAACTGCAGAATGGAAGTTTTTGCAGAGTATCAACAGGGTGGGCAGAGGTGTGTGGCCATACGTTGTCATGCAAGCTCACAGTGTCCTTGGATAGCAGTCCTTTGCTTTAATCCGCAGTTTAGGCTTCAGCTCTTTAGGGAGCATCTCATTTAAGGAGCTCTGTTGATGGTTAAACCTTTTTCCTGAGAGTGTTCCAATTCTGAGAGTCCCAGAAAACTGTAAGCATCAGTTTTCCAGCTAAGGGTTGTTCACGTTTGAACTTAATCTTGATCAGCAGTTGAGGATGTTTCCATTCCATCCTCTGCTGTGTACTCTCAGGGTGGTAGTGATGAATCCATGTCCTGTCACCAGGAGTGATTGTTAAATGGAACGTACCTTCCTAGGAGTATCAGTCCAAGTCTTGTTTGCAGATATCCAAGCTCTTGTTTCGGTTCTTCTGTGAGTTGTCTTGGTACCCATTTTGCACAAACTTTTCGAAGACCAAGTCTTTGGTGGATTATTTCTTAGGTAGACCAATGAGTGAATTGCGGATGCTTTACCACATAATACACTGTCACTTGTCTGTTCATCAGAATCATTTTGCATACTTAGTGTCATCTGCTGTGGACGTAGATGGCAGTTTTAATATAATTGGAATGCAGTTAATTTTTGACTCATTTGTGTATATTCTTAGGAGTCAAAATGTTGCAGGATATTTAATATAAGGTATTAAGATACTGTCACTTGTTCCAAAGTAGTAAGTCATTTTAAACTCAGCTCAACAGTGTCTGTGAATTCAGTTCTTCCACACCCTCCTTCCCCAACACTTGTATGGACTTTTTTTTTTTTTAAGTCATTCTGTTAGGTGTGTGGTAGTATTTCATTGTGGCTTTTAAACATGATTTTTTCTAATGATTAATGATGTTGAATATCTTCTTTTCATATGCTTATTTACAATCCATAGATCTTCTCTGATCTGTCTTCTGTTCATTTTTTAATTGGATAATGTGTTTTCTTATTAATTTTGTGAATTCTGTATATATTCATCATTTATCAGATACATGGTTTACAAATATCTCCTCCCCATTTTATGGGTTTCCTTTTCATTATCTTCACAATGTTTTTTGAGGCACAGAACCAAAAACAAGAAAAAACCCTACTTCCATCAAGTTGGTTCCGACTCATAGTGACCCTGTAACGGGTTTCTGAGACTATAAAACTTTACAGGATCAGACAACTTCATCTGTCTCCTGCAGAGCGGCTGATCTTGCAGTAACATCCTAGCACCTAAACCAGAGTGCCACCAGGACAGACATTTTTTTTAACTTGTATGAAATTTATCAATTTTTCGTTTTCTGAAAAATGTTTGATAATAGTTACACATTTTGTTTCTTGCCATTAGTTGAAATCCCTTCAGTGTAGCACTACGCTTCCTGGATTCCCCGTTTCTATCCACCGTCTTTCCTTCAACTTCCTGCTGCCTTTCCAGTTTTCATTTTATGGTCTGCGTCTTGCCTCTGTCTTAGCACCAGGCTGTTCCCTGACAGGCTCTTGTTAGTGCCTTCAAGACATTTCTTATATTTCATACAGATGTTTATTCTCACCAGAAGGATCTGGTATACCCAGAGCAGATGTCAGGAGACCTGTTTACATTAACTTACAATCTATCAAATAATTTTCCTGAACTGTGAAATTTGGAGTTTAGAATATTTTCTGGAGAGTCATTTGATGATGTTTGTCTCATTGATGAAATCTTGAAAATTTTGCAGGTTTGTGTCAATGATGATCTGGTTGCAAAGAACTTCGCCTGTTATGTGTCACCCTTGGAGAATAAAATCCTTGATTCTCTGGAGAAATCAAGATTGAATATAAAGTCACCATCGTTCTCCAGTAAACTCAACCCTGCGCTTACTCTTTGGCCAATGTTTTTGCAAGGAAAAGATTCTCAAGGGATTATAAGTGAGTTGAGTCATTTCTTGTCAGATTTTTCTTAACTATAGGAATCTTGGCGTACCTGTATAAATTACTGTGCAGACTTCTCCCCACATAGAAGCAGAGACTTTGGCTCTGCGTTTGATATTTCATTTTAGTGCTGGTATGTATGAGTTACAATCAACAACAATGGTGTTGATATCTGTGACAGGTTTAAAGGCCCTGAAGCTATTACAATGTCTTTTTATGAGATCAGGAAAACTCTTTTTAATTTCTTATTAACATTGAGTTATAGTCTCAGAAATCTGTATGTTAATAGTATAAACATATTAACAACACAAGGTTTTGGATGTTTTTAAATGCTATTTATTTGCACAATACTCTAGCACAAAAATATGACACTAGTCAGCCATGGACTGTGGACCCAATTTTAAATAGTTCTTTTGTCTTTATTCCTTCACCTTGCTCCCCTTGAGTTGGATCTCCTGAACACTTGGGAATATGTTGCTGCTCTGATGCCCTGTCATTCCCCAGTGATTGTGTTTTTCCTAAAACTAAGGAAACAGGGACATTCCCAAAAATATTATCCCCAGTACAGCCATCAACAGTAGAAAGCTAACATTATTATATTGCAACCTGGAGTTCTGGTGAGGCACTCTAGGATAAGCACGGGACCACAAGGTTGGTTTGAACCGTGAAGTTGGCATTTCAGACTCACCAGCCACTCCTCAGAAACCCTATAGGGTCATCATTAGTCATAAACTATTTGAGGGCACTCAACAACCCCCCTCAGACACTCTTCAAGTTTTGCCACTTGTATAGTGATTCTCTCGCAGCAGAAGGACTTAATTTTGCTTCACATGTTGCATTTAGCTGCCTGATGTCTGTAGTCTGCTTTAGTCTCGAGCAGTTCTTCCCATCACAGACCACTTACTTGGCAGAATGTTCTCAGTTTGGGCTGGTTTGATGTTTTCTCACTGATGAGATTCAGGCTGTGAATCTTTGACAGGAATGTCATAGAAGGACACTTTGTTCTGATATTATATCAGGTGACACATTTTTATTTGTCCCATTACAAATAAAGTTCACTTTAAACGATTAACATGATTAAGGTGTAGTGTCTTATAGGCTTCTCCACTAAAAGCTACGATTTTGCTCTTTTTGTGAATAAGTATTTTGTAGAGAGTTACTGTGAATTTATGGAAACCTTATTCCTTTTTATTTACTCATTTAGATGATGATGTTAGGTGCCATCAAGTTGATACTGACTCATAGTGACCCTGTGCACAACAGAACGAAACACTGCCTGGTCCTGGGCCAACTTCACAATCCTTGCTATGCTCGAGCCCATTGTGCTGTAACTGTACCAGTCAATCTTGTTGAAGGTCGTCTTCATTTTCTCCGACCCTCCACTTTACCAAGTATGATGTCGTTTTCCAGGGACTGCTCCCTCCTGATAATTTGTTGGAAGTTACAAGAGACAAAGTCTGGCCATCATAGCTTCCAGGGAGCATTCTGGTTGTGTGCGTCTTCCAACACAGATTTGTTTGTTCTTTAGGCAGTCCATGGTACTTTTAATATTCTCCTCCAACAATGTAATTCAAATCTATCAATTCTTCTGTGGTTTTCCTTATTCACTGTCCAACTTTCATATACATATGAGCTTATTTTGTTTTCTTAACATTGAGATGCAATCCGTATCGAAGGCTGTGCTCTGTGATTTTCATAAGTATATGTTTCAAGTCCTCTTCACTTTCAGTAAGCAAGGTTGTATCATCAGCATATCGCAGGTTGTTAATGAGTCTT